ATAGTACATAGGCCGCAAGACGTACGCATTCATATGCACGTTCGGTAATTAGTTTGTTTTTGTTTATTTGTATTTGCGTATTTTCATTTGTACAAGTGCGTATTGGTGAGCGGCGGGTGCCGATTTGTTTATTTATCCGTGCAAGCGGTTGTGATGAATTTCCCATGGTGTGCCCGAAGACATTTGCCACATATGAATGTGTGAAAGCATATGTGTAGGTTGGTAAGGAAAGAAAAGGAARAAAAGAAGAAARTTAATGTAAAATTTRTTTGTTTACCTTTAGTTTAATAGTTGAAYGTKTTATTAGCCWRTACTCCGTAGKCATGCCTATCATATATTGATGAATATAAATATAAGTGTATTTATAAATCTTAGTATACATACRTCAGATTGCTTGTGGCCGTTCTGAGTCTCTCAATGAATCAGCTAAGGTAGAGTGTGAGTGCCTTTCTTTGGCGTTAAAGGCAATAAAAGCGTAAAGTAAGTTCATTAAGATGGATGGCTTACTTTCAGCGGTCGAATTCCTGGGAAATCATATGTAAACACAGACATACACCAAGCATATTGTTATCGATTTGCATACGTATATTTATTTGGTATTATTTTGTTTAAAGGGCACATGTAGTGTGACCGTCTAAGAAAAAACTTGTTATGGGAGCTGTTGTAGAGAAAATAATGGTACGAAATTTTTTAATGTTATATCCTCAAAACCAATTCTACGTGGTTAATGAATACATACAAAAAATTGAATTATTCGCTAATTAGAATTAGRAAAGCTCACATCGATAATAAACGTATGTTCAAAGCCCAGATACGTCCCTATGTCATGGAAGGTATTTGAGACAATTATGGGAAATAAACCTGGGAAAAGCGCACTTGAGGCCTCGTCATATCGTCAAATCTTACTGTTTCCTATTTTGTTGAAGCTTTTTAAAGCTATTAAATTTGGATTTTGATCTCTACATTCCACATTAGATCAAGTTCGTCGAATAATATGGTAGAAAAGCACATTTGCAAAGCTGTTTTATTTTTTATGTCTTTTTTTGTTTTTTTGATGTATTCTTGGCGTTCGATAGAGTACAGCCCCATGGCTCAC